AGGATGGACAATCGCCAGCAGCTAGAACTCGAGACCGGTTTTTCGAACGCACGCTGCAAGTCACAAAGTCGGCATCAACAGATGCTGCTCAGGCTCCCGACGAATGTCAACAACTTTGACTTGTATGTGGATCTGGACATGTTGATGCACGAGTGTGCAGTTACATTCGTGAACTTCGGCCTGCAAAGTCTTTACGACGGTGAAACTCTCTCAGACAAGCCGCCCACTGCAATTCGCCCGAATGCTGAAGGTTGGTGCTGGAGGACTTCAACGAATTCAACTGCTTATTGGATGGACACTGCATGCAAGGTCAGGGTATCTTTGCCCCAGCAGCTGCATAATATCTGCAACTTCGGCTTCACAGGCCTTACGATGGTGAAACTCCCTCAGAAACGACTCTCGTTGTAGTTCTAGCAAGTGCTCCACTTCGAATCTTGCCACCTTTTCCTGCTGCACCTGCTGCCGCAACTTTTCCGTAGCTTCCTGTGCCTCGGAGGCTTTGCCTTGAGCCACCTCCAGCTCCGAGCGGAGTTGCTGCAGGGCGGTCGATTCGTTTTTCACGGCGGGGCAGGCAGTCGCCTGCTTCGTGGCATGCTCGAGCAGAGCTGCCAACAGCTCCGTCTCGCACTCTCGTTGTTTCAAGACATGACTGTGCATCTTACTCGGCTTCTCAGAGGTCTCCTCCAGAGGCTGACGGAACTCGTGCTTCTTCTGGTGCAGCGCCGCCTTGGCCGTCTCGAGTTCTGCTAGGAGTCTCTTCATCTCGTGGTCTTGAAGCTCGAGCTTGTCCTGCATCTCCCGCTGAAGCATCTCTCGCCTCCTCCGCTCATCCCTTAATTGGGCTTTCAATTCCTGCGAGACCCGTTGCTCATGGTTGAGCAGGAGGCGGGTCTCGTCCAGTGCAGACTGCAGCTGCAAAATCTGATCGTTTACTGCATTGTCACAGGCACTGTCGGGACTCGCCGGCTCACAGACCCAACTTACAACACTGGTGATGTGCGTCCAGAGAACGGCCATCCCGAACGTATGAATCTACACCGACGGGGTGTTGAAGAATCTGGCACCTGCGTGCTGGAGCCGAGCGACTCGGAAAGGGACATGCGAACACTGCAAGATAGCGCATACGTCTGGCGCGCTCTGGCACTCAAACCCAACTAGCCGCTGGCCCAACTGGGAAGCCTATCCCAAGCTCAGAAATACCCTGCAGAGTGCAATATCTCCAGCTTGCGTTACATGAAGACTCTTCGGCTCAGGCCTGTGTCGGACGCGCAGGATCCGGCACTTTGGATGACGGAACCTGCCGTCTTGGGAGGTAGCACTTTGAAGGGTTCTTTGGTCTCGAGTTGCGGGCTTATAGGACCCTTAACCCCCCCTAAGGGTTTGGGATTTCGGGTTTTTGGGTTTTGGGGCTTTAGCAGCAAGTCAAACAAGCTTATCTTCTCCAGGGCTCTCCACCCCACTTTGGCTCTCTTGCAGAATGACTGCTGAAGACTTTCAGGGTCAATTGTTGTAAACTCTAAACCCGAAACCCCCTAAACCCTAAACCCTAAGCCCTAAAGCCTTTCTCGGATCCCTGGGCGAGGAAGGAAGACGCACGTCTCCGGAGCTCTCGAATCAGGCGCCGCTCTGGAAGCAGGCACAACAAAATGACATCAGCAGAAACCGTCTTGCATGCGGTCGGCGATCTGCGCATTTACGTGCGAGTCAGGACACGACGCTCATTCTTCAGGAGCCAAAGCAGCTTATCCTGCATCGACAAGCCTTATGCTTTAGCTGGAACCGACAAGGTGCTCTTATCTGCAAGTCTACAAGCACCGTTTTAAGGTTGCTATGATACACAAGAAGATGGCACTATAAAGATACACAGTAGGGCCATTCCGGCAGCAAGGTCCTCAACCTCTCAACGTCTCGATCGTCGTGTTTACATGGGAGTTGAGGAGTAGATCAGGAGCCATAGCAACAAAGAATCCAAATCCCACTGAAAAAGCCCAAACTCCAAACCCTACAACCCGAAACCCTGAACCCCAATAGGCTCTATAGGCTCCAAACTCCACATGCCACTCCCTTTATTCAGCACCAAGGTCAACAAGTCGAACGACGGGAAAGCAGAAGCTCGAGCACCGCAAGTAAATCGAGGGCTAGAGCTCATTTAGAACCCGTATATATATATATATATGTATGTATGTATGTATATATATAATATAGTATATATATATATATCAATCAGAAGCCAGAAAGCTGGAACATGACTATCCAAACACCCCGTATCTAGAATACAGGGAACTCCAGCATCAACCATCCTTAACCCATGTTCCAACTCTATGGTTTCTACTATAGAACCCTGTACAAATTAAGCTCCAAAGGAAGGAAAAGAGCCCTGTGATCCTTGCGAGCCGTGAGCCTGGGTTTGTCGCGCTTCTGACGGTTTGAAAGATCCAGCGGTCTCGGCGCCTGAGCTTGGTTTTGCAGGGCTTTGAGTTTAGGCTTTCAGGTTTAGGGGTTTAGGGCTTAGGGTGTAAGGTTTGGGGTGAGAACCATATTGAAGAAACATAAGGAACACAATTAGTCACTTGTCAGGCTCATATATTGCGCCTTCAAGTCGAAGACTGGCAGTAGATTTGATTAACAGAACTACGAGGCAAGCAGGTAGGCAGGCTGGCAAGCAGGCAGTTTGTGGATGATATAAAATGGATGAGAGTAGGGCAGACCAGAACGGGATATGTGTGTGCGTATGTGTATGGATGTGTATGTATATATATATATATATATTTGTTTATTTATTTATGTATGTGTATGTCTGTGTATATATATACATGCACATGTATATGTGTGTATATATATATACATATGTATACACACATGGTATGTATATAGCTGTGCCATCAAGACACCATGCTGCAACCTAGGACCTAGGTGAGGACATCGCAAAGATAGACCGCATACTCGGTGGTAAATCCTGAAACCATGCCACGAACAAGTCTTGTAGGGGGCACGCAGCAAACGGCAAGAGAGACATGATAACAAGGAGTTGGCCGAGAACGTGGATTGGCTGGTAGAGTACGAGAGGCAGCCCGAACAAGTGATCGCAGGGGACACTGACCTACGCGGATCGATCGGCCGGTGGTTGAGCAAGTTCACGAAACGGATATAACAGAAAGCCAGGCACAACGGACCAAGTGGGCGTGCCGAGCACAGCATCGATCCCTCGTGTAAAGATTTGCGATAATTGACCGTGCCAAAACCAAGGCAATGTGGAGAACAGAGCTAAACAAATCTCTGGCCTGGCATATTTCCCTGCTAGTTGTAGCTTTTTGTGGCTTGACAACAACTTCGCAAACTGACGGCAACACACAAGCGCAAAATACTGCCTAAACTGACGTGCTATGGCATGGAGCGTGAGGACAATGTAACGCATCGGGAGCAAGCATCAGCCTTCGCAAAAAAAAAAGCACAATTACTACCCCACGAAAACCTGGGTCCTAGACTTCGCAACAGCTAAGAAATACTGCATCGTCTTTTCTAGACCGACACATTCAACTGACTTTCGACTGACACCACGAGCCCGAACGCCCAAACATGATATCTGCCGACCTCGTTGGCCCCGCATTCGCCGGGCATTCTCGGCTGCTACGCGCCGTGACCACTCTGCAACCTTCTGCGGCCAGGTTGAGGGCTTCTAGGGTGTTAGGGTTTGGGGTTTGGGGTTTATGGGGGTCTATGCCGTTCATCCGTCTTTCGAGTTGATGAAGGTTTGGGCCTGAAAAGGGCCTGGTGGTTGTTGAGAGTTCCAGAAACCAGCCCGAAGAACGGCATCGCGCATCCCTATGCTTGGACCGGTACCCTAAAGGCCCAAAGGGCCCTATGCAGGTTACTACGTGGGAGAGCATAGATGATGATTCGGTACTTGGACCCGTGAAGCAGATTATGGGGTTCTATAACACACTAAACAGGATACTATGGGGTTCTGTAATAGGGCTCTTCTTAGGGGTGTGCACTCGAAGCACCTCGCATCTGCAAAACTCGATCTTGGGGCCCGGAGCCTGGTTCAGGGTGGTGGTCTGTGGGTTCAGGGATTAGGGTCTGGGGGTTTAGGGTTCAGGGTTCAGGGATTGGGGTAGGGGTTTAGGGTTCATAGGGTTCGGGGTTTAGGCTTCTGGGAGCAGGCTGCGGAAGTTGTGGGCTTCGGGCCTTACAAGGCCACCGCTTCGGATGCTGAAGCCGGATTAAGTTTTAGAGGAGTTTCGGGCGCAGGCACTGCGAAGAAATATTGTCAACGTCAGCACCTTGCTTGCTGCCAGAAGTTGAACACATACCCCATAGATGACCTTGAACATCTTTGAACACTTCAGAAAATACGGAAACAAACCGCTGGGCTCAGCCTCATGATTTTCAGAGGCTTGGAGTTTAAACACACACTGGCTCTGCCTGATGCCGTAACTCAGGTTCGGAGCAGCCGTAGTAGTGATACCCCGAACGCACGGTTTAGGATTTCTGAGTGTAGGGGTCTGACCCAGCTTAAGGCTTACCATCGCAGTCCTGAGCCCTGAATCTTAATCACAACAGCCGCACTGCCTGACGATGATCTTCGGCAGTGGCGGCCGCACCGCTTGGGCCTGGCTTGAAGCTACCCCCAGGGCCATACAGTGTATACTTTGACCGCCCAAATTATTCCTTACAGGAGCCCCATATAACAAAAGAGAAACATGCAGGATCATTGACCATTCGGCTACGACGTCGAACTTCCGCCTCGTCTCCTTACTTACAGGACTACCTTACAGCATAAAGGTTTGCATTCATCTGATTCATGATACCTGTCAACCCTAAGCCCTAAACCCCTGAACCCTAAACCCTTGCCCCTTCTTCAACACCAGAAACGTGTGGGAAGTGCTCTACGCAGGCCAGGGCTCCACTTGATGCTGCTTAAAAACAGCATATAGCATGGTATAGTCGAATAAAGTCTAATACAATGTAGTATAGTATAGTCTAGTAGACTATACCAACAGGAAAAAAGCAGAGACACACAGGCTCCTGTTGATAGATAATTTGCCGAACTCCCGCGCAAGGAACCAAGACACCCGCCTGCCACCGAGCGCGGGAGAACCCAGCGCGGATGATTTGGGAAGGGACCTGCAACATGTAGGCAGAGCTTTGAGTTTAGGGTCCGGGTGCACTCGCAAGGCAACACGAAAGTATCTTTTTATATTCTAATATTTTTGTTATATTATATTATATTATACTTATACTCATTTTTATATTATATTATATTATATT